CAGTGATGCCTCTAGTGGACACCAGGAGAATAACATGTATTATCTCCCGTAACCTCGAAACGGTGTCACTAATAATCATAATTTTCATGAAGGTACTCAATGAAAGGATGAATCTGAAGGTAAAAAAAAAGATTGTTAACCTCATCTTCTCTTTGGCCTCCTCGAAGCTCTCGGACACAAAGTAGATGTCCTGGAAGGTGGTGATGAGACACTCCTGGTTACACGTGGTCTTTGGATCAAAGGTCCTCACACAGGCCCGGTCTGATAGGGCATGCTGGGAAACAAACAGCAGTCAGTGAAGTAAAGCGTTTACTTCATTTTATTCTTAGTTTATCATATTTTATATTATTTCATCCTCTGTACTTTTTTACAGTTTATCGTTTCAGACATTTAACAATCAAACATTTTCCAGATTCTCAACTGTGAAGATCTGATGTTTTTAAATATCCAGTCATATATATTTATACATCTATATACATCTATATATTAATTTATTTATATGTGTTACCCTCAGCTCCCCGATAGACGACAGTAAACCGGCTCCATAAGCTCTCAGCTGTCCGTCCTGTTTGCAGAGTCCAAACTCGATGGTGAAGAAATAACACTGTTCACAGATATCAGAGAGTAGAATAGAGTAAAGTAGATTAGAGTAGAGTAGAGCACCATGGTGGAGTATATAGTATAGTAGTATAGTATAGTATAATATAGTATATAAAGTTAGTTCAAACGAAAAATCTAAAAGGAGTTTTGGGGGAAATGAGTTGGTCTTTCTTCTTGAAAAATGTGTTGAATGTTAAAAATGTTTTACTATTAAAATAAAACAAGAAGCTGGATGGAAATTTAATTTTAATTGAACATTATCTAAATATTCAAAGACACTGAGCTCAGAGAGACACAAACAACCATCTTTTTTCAGTAAAGTACTGTTTTACTTTATTTATTCTGTTTACTTTAATGTAACATTGAGCCGACGTCGTAACATAAAAACTTACATCTATGTTCTGTATTTTAAACAGACTTCACATGTGAATAATAATGGAGTGTAATGATCCCTGTGGCCACTAGAGGACGCTGGTAGAGCTCTAACACACGTGTCACATGACAGATCTAATATAATAATAATAATAATATCAGACACATCAGTGATCAATGATATCAACTCACTGTGGCCAGTTTCTGAACGTCCTCATCAGACGCTCCCAGAGACGCGAGACCGATCTCCTGAGAGAACTGAGCGAACTTTGGATCCGCCAGCAGAGGAACGTGACCCAGCAGCTCATGACAGGTGTCTCTGCAACCACAACACCAGCAGAGTCAACACGAAGCTTTTATTGTGAAGGAGTCAGAGACCTGCTGCTCACAGAAGAAGCTCTTATTGTGAAGGAGTCAGAGACCTGCTGCTCACAGAAGAAGCTCTTATTGTGAAGGAGTCAGAGACCTGCTGCTCACAGAACAAGCTTTTATTGTGAAGGAGTCAGAGACCTGCTGCTCACAGAACAAGCTTTTATTGTGAAGGAGTCAGAGACCTGCTGCTCACAGAAGAAGCTCTTATTGTGAAAGACTCAGAGACCTKCTGCTCACAGAAGAAGCTCTTATTGTGAAGGAGTCAGAGACCTGCTGCTCACAGAAGAAGCTCTTATTGTGAAAGAGTCAGAGACCTTCTGCTCACAGAACAAGCTCTTATTGTGAAGGAGTCAGAGACCTGCTGCTCACAGAAGAAGCTCTTATTGTGAAAGAGTCAGTGACCTGCTGCTCACAGAAGAAGCTTTTATTGTGAATAATAAAATTCAGCCATTCACATACATTCAGTTCAGTATCTCGCCCACTTAGACATGCGGACTGGAGAAGCTGGGGAATCTTCTGATCAGATGATGACCCGCTCTACCTCTGAGCCACAGCCGCCCCAAAAGTCAAGCTTTTTGAAAAATATAGTTTAGTGTATCAGAGGGAGGGAAAAGTGATGACAGAGGCTCCTCCAATGAGGAGAAACCAGTTAATCCAGTCTCACGATGTGAACTCGTGTCATCATCTAAAGGAGTCCGTGGACAGTGGAAGAGGTGCTGGGACATCTCCATTGTTTTCAGGTGGATGGTGTGTGTGTGCAGGTGTACTCACGGCTCAGGTGTGTAGAGCGGGTCGGTGCTGTGACGAACGTACTGAGTGCAGTTAAACACTCTGTAGGCCAAACCAGCCAGGAAGTCTCTGGGGGACAGGTAACCTGCTACTGGTCTCACAGTGAACCCAGACCTCTCTGAAACACACAGGGACAGGCATCACATACTGCTGTTGATTATTGATGATATATGTTTTATATACACATTCACCTTTCCAATTATCAGCAGTGCTTTTCTGCAGACTCCAGGAAATAGTCCGACACATAACGCTTTATAAAACGACATCCTGTCGTCTTCAGATTATGTTCAAATACATTTTTAAAAGACTAAAAGTGTAAATGATGAACCAAACCTCTGAGAAACAGGGAGACGTCCTCCAGCTGGGGGATGTTGTCCTCTCGGTAACCACAGTGTTTGCTGAGCAGCGGCAGGTTCTTCAGGTATTCTCTGCAGGCGTGAGTCGGGTACAGCTGGGTCAGCTCTCTGAAGACCACCCCCCACGTCCGGACCTCCTCCGGGGTGTACTCGATATGAGGGATGGGCTGCCCGCTGGGGAGGAGACAAGAGTCAAAACCGTCTCATCGATCACTGAGGATCTCAACTCGTCTCATTTCAACTCTACATGTTGTTTCATGCTCGTGTCAGAGGCCCATAAATCGTTCAGTGTTCAAAATGTTCACATTAAAGATGAAGATGAGGAAGATGCTGATGAACATTGTAATGCTCCTTTATGTGTTTCTTCATACATAAAGTAATAAATGATGATACTTACAATTTATAATTCATGGCCACTTCCACAAAGTATTTCCTCCTCTGACGGTAAACTTCATCCTTAAAGCCCTGCAGGAAGGAAGAGGTCACAGGTCAGCTGGAAAAATAAAACATCCACAGATTATATTTATATAATGAATGTATATATATATATATATATATGTATATTATATTTACCAGGAACCATCTTTGGAAAAAAATGTATTTGATGTGTTCTTTCATTTTTCAGTAAATATTTATAATGCATACTATTATTATACTATGTTATAGTATTAATATAACATATCAAAGATAAATGTAGTTACAGGGTGGTCTGCGTCCAGCTCTGATCCGTACATCAACACTCTGTGAGAACACTGATCCAACTCAGAGATCTTCATCGGGAACCAGGGAACATCGTCTTCATCTGCTTCAACAACAACAGAAATATAACTGTACTTAGTCTGTGAAGATGTTTTATATAAAAAAGGCATTTTCACATTTACTTTGATCCAAAAACATGAGGTATCTACAAAAGAGTTAAAACAATAATACTAAAATTGTCACGGTTTAGGCTTTGCCCCCTGTGTTCCTGTGTTCCTGTGTTTCTGTGTCTCTGTGTGGCTCCGCCCCTGGTCTCCTCCCCTGGTCTCCACCCCTGGTCTCCGCCCCTGGTCTCCTCCCCTGGTATCCTCCCCTGGTCTCCTCCCCTGGTCTCCACCCCTGGTCTCCTCCCCTGGTCTCCTCCCCTGGTCTCCTCGGTCTCCGCCCCTGGTCTCCTCCCCTGGTCTCCTCCCCTGGTCTCCTCCCCTGGTCTCCGCCCCTGGTCTCCTCCCCTGGTCTCCTCCCCTGAACATCATTGGTACCCATCTACCTATAAACCTCAAGAACATAATTGGTACCCATCTATCTATAAACCACCAGAACATCATTGGTACCCATCTACCTATAAACCTCCAGAACATCATTGGTACCCATCTACCTATAAACCACCAGAACATCACTGGTACCCATCTACCTATAAACCAGAACATCATTGGTATTATCTACCTATAAACCACCAGAACATCATTGGTACCCATCTATCTATAAACCACCAGAACATCATTGGTACCCATCTACCTATAAACCTCCAGAACATCACTGGTACCCATCTATCTATAAACCACCAGAACATCATTGGTACCCATCTATCCATAAACCACCAGAACATCATTGGTACCCATCTATCTATAAACCACCAGAACATCACTGGTACGAATCTACCTATAAACTCAGCCGACCACACAGGTAGAGGTGTAATGTAACAGCTGAGGCGGACTCACCTGCCTCAGCGGACCACACGTGTGCAGGTGTGTTGAAGGAGATGACGTTAACGTGGTCTCTGAGGTGCTGCAGCAGCTCCTCAAACTCTTTCTTGCTACAGCTGCAGTCGGCAAAGATCTCCACCTCATTAACGACTCGCTTTGACATCCGAGACTCGATGTGGCTCAGGTTCACTCGCTTCTCCTGCAGAGGACAGAATAAAGTAACAATAAGATGTCCCTGTAATCAATAATGAGTGGAAGAGGAAACCTCACCTGGAAGAGTCTGAGGGCTTTGACCAGACAGCCCACCTCATTCTTCAGAGAAAATACCACCGCCGTCTTCCCACAATCCTCAGCGCTCTCTTTGTCCGGCACCTCGTCGATGGGACAGAAGGATGGACGCCTCGACTAAACCACAAGACAACAAACACAAACCACAACATGTTTCATCTATAACGTTATGTTCTTCATGAATAATTAATAATGAGATAAAGCTCAGAGCCGGATCTCCTTCGGACTAAAGAAAGGTCTCATTCTGGGGTAAACCGATCACAATTGTTACAGAATAGATATAAAGATGTGAGAGCGATAGCTTTTACCCTCTGTGTCCATCAGAGTCTTCATTGTCGTCTTCAGAGTTAAAGACAAACACACAACATAACACTTTAAAAACATCACTATAGATGTCGTTAATATGACTTTACTACAGTTATTATATTGACCTCTACATCCTTAAAAAATGCTTTATAATGTGTTATGATTATTGTTATGAAACAGTTTGGATATTTACGAGTTATAAGCCAGGTTTATATGGTTGAACTTTACCTCTTTTATTTCTTTATAATTTCATTACTTAGTTTTATACTTTTATTAGAGCTACAACTAACAATCATTTTCATCATCAATTAGTATTGATTAGTCTTTAAACAGTTGGATGTTTTATTTGACCAACGGTCAAAAACACAGAGATTCAGTTTTACATCTTAATATTCACTGAAACACTGAATCTATAAATTAATTAATTCGTTTACAGCCAATCGATCAATCGCTGAATCATTTCAGCTGAAATCTTTACGTTTACATGTTTAGAATAAATAAAATAAAGAATTGAATTTGACATCTTCTGCAGGAAGTGAACACATTGATACATGAACCTTTTTCGAATAGAAAAGTATAAAAACAAAATATATAGTTCAAGAACCAAAAGTCCTGATGATGCAGAGTAATAAAGAGATGGAGAGGAGGAGGATGAAGAGCAGTCCTCACCATCTGCCCCCCCGTGTGGCGCTGCTGCTGCTGGTCAAACATGGCCGAGTCCAGAGACATACCCCTCCTGGACCAGTACTTGCTGGAGAACATCATCATGGCGGGCTGCATGCGGGGCACTGGCTCCGGGCCGGGCTTCATCACGTGGGATGAGGCCATGGGGAACCAGTGGGTGTAAGAGTACCAGGGCTCCAGCCTGCTGTCTGTGGTGGTCCTCACAGTGATGCTCACAGACCACCACCTCCTCTTATATACTGACACAGGGAGGGGGGGGGGCTGAGGCTCCTCCCCCTGCTGCTCCTCTCCAAAATCACTTTCATAATCAAACCTTTTTAATTCACCTGTAAACTATAAGATATCAGATATGTTTATGTTTACCATGTTCACTGTGTGTGGTTAGAGTGTTAGCATTATTAGACAGGAATGTAAACAACAGATGGAGAAACAGAGAAACCGACAAAAAGTCTTTGGATGAAAAGAAGTTCAAGCTTCTTCAAGATGTTTCAGTTTGAACTCCATCATGATCACATTCACAATGCAGACACACAACAAACATAGAGATGAACCATCTTTTTCTCTCTGAAAGTAGAGACTACCTGTATACAAACTAACTGTATATAAACGACCTGTATATACAAACTAC